ATTTGAACGAATTTATTCACACGTTACATTGTAAAGTCTAATAAGAAATCATTATGTTCTATTCATAAAAATGAGTATTATTATCATTATAAATGGCTTTATTTAGTGTTGTATATTTAGGACGATATGGAATTCTCAGCATGCAATATTTCAGCAAGTTTATCTTTCACTTCTATATCACATAAAACAATCGATAACTGTATGAATATATGCACAAAATAAGTAAATATGTAGATGGTATCTGTGAGTAAACAAGCAATTTGACAATGATTAGTTCCTACTGATTGTAATTCAACTTTGATGTAATTTTTACGGCATAAACGTGTTTCGGTTCCTGATCGATAATGCTATCTAAACCTGGTGGTTGTGATAAATCTCCGCTATACAACACTGTTAGTTTGATGAGAAATAAGTCTATGCTATGGATTATATGCTACTTTCAGGCATTACTGAAATTTCCTTTCAATACATTTCATTACTTAGAAAGCTGTGATAGCGTAACAGGTAAAAATTACTAGTTGGAACGGCTTTCAGATATGCGAATACTGATTGCTGCAAAATATCTACGTTTTCATGGCTTAATCATTAATTTACGTATTCAACAATGCCATTATTGAGCAAGTCAGGTAGGTGGTAATCAACTACTAAATACTTCGGACTCCTGATTATGCATAGTTACAAATTAATTTATCCAACTGTCATAGTAAAGATCTGATTGAAGTTGTGACATTTCTACTGCACTAAACAAACGACTTTTGCTTTGGATTGGTTACGTTATAACTACTTTTAAATTAAAAGTAGTGTGATTCTCTATTATCAAGTGGTTGCAGATATCAACTCATTCTTATTGTAGTTAGAAAATATTCTCTTTCGGAAATCACGAAGCACTAAAGTGACGAGCCAGTGACAAGTATAATTTAATGCGAAATTGACAAATTTGATAACCGATCACTGAGAACTTGACTATTACTCAAGTAAATCACAAATTTGTAGGGACTTACTGATTCTGAAGACAGTATTCCCCCTAAGTGACTTCAACAGTAGGATTTTTGAAAAGCAATAAAATTGAACACTAGTTTTGTTCCCGTTTTCACTTTCTCATCACTTAACATCGATTCCACCTGAGGTCGGGTCAAAAGCCCTAAGAATCTAAAATATCGCTTCATCATTAGGAACTAGTATGTCAGTATTCCAGGTGTTAGGTTCGATTCCACAAAGAATAATTGATATACATTCAACTAATTTGTATTTGCAGTAAGAAGGCTACTAAGTGCTCGCTTTTCCCGAAAAATCTTTTTCAACTTGGAATTTGGAGATGACTTTTTCATCAAAAGTCGATGTAAGGAACTTTTTGTTTTTATGAAAATATGAGTCACATCTGTTGTTTCATCGAAGTTATTTAACTTTTAAACGTTTGAACGTATTCCCCATATACAACGAAATGAAAACCTTACCAAATCTAATGAGTCTGAACAGAATCATTTTGATTAGTAGCTTATTTACTCCGAATAGTACTGTCGACTTGTTTACTTATTTATAACCGTTCAGGAAGAAATTACTTTAGTCAATTAAATTAGAGAGGTTACTCAAATAAAGTGTATAGCGTTTAGTGAGAGAGGTGTTAACACTGATCATCACATAAGAGCATAAAAATTAAAATAAATCGCACACTGAAGGATTATTTGACAATTTTTTGATTTATTTAGGCTGCATATTATGAAATTTTAGACTTAATGACATTTCGTTCTCGTTAAGTCTGGTAGCAGTTGATTGCTTGTCTCTTAATTAATCAAACATCTTGAACCATCAGTAACCAAGCAGGTTAAAGGTTTCAAAAATAAAACTTACTAAAATTTTGAATTCATGTATAAGTGTACATTGAGGAAGTAAACAAGACATCATTTCGAAACTCGATATTCATGAATATTATTAAGTTGCATTTTGCATTTATCCTATTCCCCACTGTTTATTGTGACCATTTTTATTAAAAAGCGTTCGTACCACTCACAAATTTTTTGATTATAATTCATGAATAAATAATTCTTGAAGCAGTAGATTTTACACTTTAGAGTGAAAAATCACTTGAAGATCATGAATTATCCAAACGTAATTATTCTAAGGCATGAATAACTCCAAATCTAAAAGATAAAAGTTAGTCCAAATAGAAGTGGGACGAAACGTGTTTGTCACACGATAACAAGGATTTATTACAGTTCAGAGAATCGAACCATCTTAAGGTTTAAGGTTCGATCACTAAGCAAGATTTATCATTGTGTGATAGTTAAGACAGTGATGAAGAATAACTCGGAATTACCTAATGTGTTCTTCTAGGCGGCACACATTAATATGAAGTGAAATTTATGGGATTTATTCATTTAAATACTAACATAAATACTTATTCATAACTGATTATTTCAATTGAATATACATGGATAATTTTTGAAAATGGAATAATTGCAAAGTATACTCTTCTTTGTTAAAATATTAAAGACAGATTTTGTTAATATAAAGATTCTATACAGGTTGAAAATATTAGTCATGAACATCAATGTGTAGTAATTCCATCTTTAAATTGTTCAAAATGTTCTGTCGAATTGTTTAACGCTGAATTCCTACTTATTTAAAGCCCCCAAATGCCCTGATACGGTTGAGAGTGGGAAGAGTCCGCTAACCATCTCGAAATGCTCTCACATGGTCATGTTTATACAACCACTCCCAGGGAAGTCCTACTCAATGCCTCGCGGCAGGGGTGTTGTTTAAGAAATTGAAAGGACGAAAAGCGAATATCCGGCGCTTTAACTGGGTTGGTGGATATGGAGGATCTACCCAGGGGAGTTGGGAAACTTTGACTCCAAACCAATGGTGGTCATGGGCTCTAGGATCCTAAGGAAACAAACAACGTATGAACTTACTGTCGGTCACCGGCTACCATAAGACTGCATCTTCTCACGTCGCTCCACCGTTCTGTGGACTGGACCTTCAGGTCAAAGACTCGGGGAGCGCCCCCCCCCTGAGAAAACCAACTGCTTCGGTTTGGGCACTTGGGCCATATCACAGCCCTCAGACAAATCAGTAGTATTTGGTGCTCCCCTGTACTATTGTTTATGTGTTCAAATAAATAAACGTATTTAAAACATGGACATTTTGGTACAACTGGGCATTAAGAAAGAGCATGCACCACAGATCTTATAAATGATAGGATTCAATGAAACTTGTCCATGTAAAAACTAGTTTTTGTGATGGATGATTTATCCTAGTGAAAACTAACAACTTATTTTGAAGATAGTTGTTATCGTATACAATTATCCTATAAACAATTACTGAAATAGTACAATCTTTAGTTTTGATTGTTTCAAGTTGTATTTCGTTGAGTATACACAGATTCTAATAAAACATATTCCCAACAAAATATCTGACGATTATCAATTTCACTCAGAAGAGAGTTACCCATGAGAACTATTGAAAAGAGTAAGTTAGTAAGACATTCTACATATCCTCACTTTTTCTACATAATCTAATGGTTTATTTATTCACTAACTAATTTTTGTTCTTTGTTGTCCTGTTCACGTGTTCTTCTTGTATGACCATTTATATACATACTTAGAAAGAAATGTCAATCAGGCAACTTTTAATTGAAATACAATAACACTTGTAAACTAAGCATATTGGTAAATACAGACCACAGGACATATTTACTCTTGCTTATTCACTTAATTCGTGTATATCTTATTAGGCTCAGTTAGGATAATATAACGATTTATTCATCATTGATAAACAATAGAGAAGTTTCTTCCAATCTCATTTACTTTTTGTTTGTAAGTACACGTATATGTAGATATATGGATAAACGCACTAGTCTATTAAGTAATAGTTACATGTGAGTTGGTGAAACACTCTATTTTCTCAAGCTGTTACTTCATATCCCCTCTCCTGACAGATTCAATTGCAAAGTGATTTCCACTATATATGGATATGTGATGAGGCTATCTATTATGTGGTGTAATCAGAGGGGCGTACAGAAAAAAAAAACAAATCCGAAGTGAAATTCCAACTATCCTTGTGCATAATTTGTTTGTTATTTCAATTATTCAATATATATTAAATACAAACTTAACACACATTTAATCAAACGTTATGCCAAACACATGCTATTGACATAATTGTAAAATATTTAAATTACAGTTTATAATTAAAAAAAAACATGGTTGAAACTGTAAGTTGTAGTTACTTGTTTGAAAAAATGTTCACATATCACTGGGATTTGATTAAGTTGGTAAGTAACACGTGTTAAATATTGAGAATGTTTACAATCTAATCAAACAAAACTAATTAATTTATTAACAAAGTGTGTCTAAAGCAAAAACAAATTTGTTAAGCAAACAGTTGAGAAGCACCATTTTTAAAGACTTATTTCAGAAATCAGTCGATCACTGACAGGTTATTTCCGTTGGTAAATCGTGTTGTAGCATTTGCAGAACATGGTGTGCATACAATCACGAACATACAGCTCATAGTATTTTAACTATTGATATACAAGTTGTCATAATGTCCAAGGAATAATTTAGACTATATACCGATGCATGGAAATCTGAGGAATAAGAGTGACCTAGTAGTTGCGCAGAAGTATACCATGAGTGTTTACTATTCCACTACTAAAGGTTTTATAAGCACAAGAATACGGATAGGAGTTCCAACTGATTTAAATGATAAGAGATATTAAAGCTGTTCATATATATGAATCTCAGTTATATATTTGTATGCTGCCTGATCAACAGATTAAACGTTATTTACGCTTTAGTAATCATAACAAACAAATTTTAAGCTCAGTTGAATGTTCAAACTTACGGTAGACTCTCAAAATGTCATTATTCACCGAGTGGTGTTTGAGACATAATACACAAAATATAGACTGTCTGAGCTATTTATTACATTTACTTTGTACTAAAATACAATATCTTTCAACCCCTTTAGTATAAATGAGAAGACATCAGTATAAATTTAGTTTCAAATAAATGTATATATTAACATAATTTTTTAAATATCAATAATTACAAACAATTCGTGCATATGTTCATTTTCATGAATTTGCATATTCGAATAGGTGATAGCTTTCACTTCAGTACCCTGGAATTTTGCAAAGAAAATATTTAATAAAAATTATAATTATTCGAAATAAAAGTAATATGATCTTCAATAAAATATGATTTAAAAGACATGTTGAAAGTTAAGTATGAGCCAATGTCGTGCTGTTTGGAATAAATCCTACAGCAATAATAATAATAATAATAATGCAACTGGTTTACGAGGTACAGGGCTTTTTGTGCTTTTCTAAAATTAAATCTGTAAATCACATCAATAAGTTTGTAATCACTAATCGAAATAACTAAACATTATACAAAGTACTTTAACATTAAGGACAAAACGAAGAGTATAACCAACCTGAGGATGTTTTGAAATGTCAAAAGGTTCACCCCAACTATAACAATAAATTAATATGACATTGGTTTTCTTTTCCTTAAAAAGCACAGAACTTACCCAGATGATTTAATGTGGAATTTTTCCTTATCAAATTCTGTTATTTTAACAATCTAATAAGAAAAACAAATGTAGTATAAACAAACCCAAAAATTCAGTTTGTAAACGACTACTAAAGTAATTGAAAGTTTCACTCAAGAAAAATGATTTGAAGTTCATTCAGAAAGCAACAGGAACATATGAGTGACATAACAAATGGCACTAAATTACAAGCGATGTACAGACTTTTGACATTAAAAATAACCGAATATGCAGTGAGGGAGGTAAATCTACAAGTATACTACAAATATTTAACAATTACATAGTAATAATAGTTACAAAAGGAGGATGAAGTGCATTGAAATAGAAAGACCACTACAAAACCCCAAATGATAAAGTCACTGGTAGAAGAGTAACACAAGCATAGAGAAATAATTACCCAACATAGTTAATTACAATTCTTCGAAAGATTACTATAGTATGAGGATTTTGCAAAAGCTAGCTAAGAGTGGTGGCTAAAACACCTGAGTTTTAGCTACCAGGTTACAAGTTGAAACTTTATTCTAATTATTGAGATGTAGGCAACTAGGTAATATAATTGTCCACTTCTTTGACTACCTCGATTTATTATAATAAGGCCTGATATGTAGGTAAAGCTAAAAATATAAATCCTCTAACTTTATTTACATCCGAGGCCTTATTTGTTAAAGTGAAAGGATTTAGTGAAAACATGTCATTGTCTTTTAATTAGATTGAAATTTTCAGTCTAACTGCATGTAAACAATTGTTAACAAAATTATGAATAGTTATGATGCTATATCTTTTCCTCAATTTGAAATAGTTAAACCAGATCTGAGTAATTATTCTAGTATCTTAAGCAGTTTAGACACAATGAAACTTACAACAAAGAGTTGGACTGAGCAGATTTTGGGGAAAGTTTGAACGATATTCGTATCAAATAACAAAATATTTGATATAATCAGATTGAGTTATTCAATCGGTTTGTAACATTAATCGTTGACTACTAAACCACGGTCAATGTGAAACATGTGATATTGTTAACGTGGACACAAAGAGGTTGTCGGTTATCATCCGAAGTCACTTGATTACTTGAAAAACTAACTTCCAATAAACCGATACGCAAAAAATACACAAGATTTCTTCATTAACCAACGAAGATTTACCCGTGGAATGAAAAATGGATCAGCTGAAAACGCGAATAACCATTCATCCAGAAAATGAAAAAGTAATGACATCATATCGTGACCTGAAAAAATTATATTGACAGATATATTTTGAGTATGAGAACAGTTTAGACACAGGTTGAACAAAGAAAGTAAATGAGTCCACAAAACATTCCCCAAGACTGATTACACTTACAGGGAAATGATCCATAAATGTTTATAGACCAATACGAAGTAATGCATTTACTATACTAGACTTTTCAAAATCGTAAAGCATACTTTTGTGATTCGCACACTGCAAAAACATTGAGATGTTATGCGAAGACATATTTTACAGGAAAACGCTGAAGATTACCTGCTCTTTAGTTGTTTGAAATTCTACTTCGACTTTTTTAGATGTACTGATCAACTATTGTTATTCTCTTTTTCTTTTGCGCTCCTTAGTTTTTTTTTCTACTTCTCTTCGAATTTTCATTGTTTTGCGTGGCGTATATATATTGGCGCTCTCTTGTACCAATATTCATGTGTTCAAATAAATAAATAAATAATACTGATCAACTAGTCGAAATTATGTTTAAATGCACACTTGGGGTGGATGTTTTTTATGGATCCTTAATTAAGGCATTCTCCAGTTGCTTGTATGTGCCAGATTTCAAGTGTGAGGGCTAATAATATTACCCCGTTGCCTAAACCGAAGGTGTGGTGGGGTTCGAACTTAGTGGGTGAAAGTCGAACACCTTAACCACTAAGGCACATGAAAAGTGATTGCTTTTCGAAGTGGAGAGTCTTGTGACAATGGCAGTATTTGCAAAGAAGAGTGTATAAAAAATAACTTGATTTATTTAAGGTATTTAGGAATTTCTCCTGGTATTTCGTGTTCCAGACTTTCGCTACTTCTCTGATCTAGTGGTTAAGCTTGAAAATCGTAGTGACTTAATAAAAACGCATCAGCCGAAATCTTTTTTAGATGTCTTGTAACGTTAGCAGGTTGTTCCAGATCTATCAAAGCCGATACAACGGATCATAGGTCCGAGCAAATATATATGTCTTTTAGAAAGCATTGTCTACATCACTGACATTCACCCTTTCCAGTACTTTTTAATTTACGAAAACAAAACGTGGACCTATTTACACTATTCAACAAATAAACGACTAATAATTAGTAATCAATACACACCAATAAACAGATAAGATTTCTAGTGGCCATTCCGCTGTTTAATTCAAGGATCTTTACGGAAACCAATGAAAAATTGTGAACCTAAGTAATAATTACTTAGCACACGAATGTATTTGATATAGACTACTAACATAACAACTAATGCGTTATATACAACGAAGAACAGCATGCGCGTTTACCTAAAACGCAAAATCGTAGAAAAAATGAATGGAGAAACTGACCATCAGCTTCAATTTCAAATCTTTGTGAAGTATCCACTGAGTCGTAGTTTGTTGTCATATAGTTGAACATCGCCATGGCAATCTATTTATAGCATAACAATATCTCCTGATGAGTAGACCAAATGCAACTAACTTGTTCAAATGCTTCTGTTTGGTTATTACCCCAGGAATGTAACCTAATAGAAAAAAACCACGTACACAAAAGATCAGGGACTCATGGGAACTCAATCTAGAGGCAGTGATTAGAATAAAAAGTAAGAATATGTTATAATTTGTGTCAAATAATAAATATTTTCTTCCCAACTATGAGATGGTCATTTTGGTTAACATCCACTAATTGAACTGAGTTTAAGTATAATATATTTTTTATCTAAAGAATTTCGGGACGGTACATAGATGATCTGATGGCAAAGTGTTACTGATAAAATTTATTTACAATTTGAACATTTGAAATAAATGCTCAGCAACCAGTGCCGCACTAAACTATCAGTATAAATCCATGAGTAATGAAAACAAGGGATATGTGTTAGATAAAATGCCGCATATATACCTTGCTTTTACTTTACCAGAGACGTCCCAGGTCAAAAATTACTCCAAGGGAGGTCAGAATTTCTAAATATTAGTAACACTGTACCATTTTATTATTTGACAAGTTTGGAATAAATACTTAGATAAGATAATTGCCTATTTGTTGGGAAAAGGTACTGGTAACACGACTGTTAAAACAATTAAATCTTCCTACTTCTGCACAGGAAGTGATACCATTCAGAATAAACAAAAAAAAATCTTAACTTCAATATTTTTAAGTCATATTATTGGATGCGTCCATATCATTTGTGAAATGGTGGTCAAAGGAGCATACGTATGTTCCGTCAGTGAAAGTTACTATTCATATAAACCTAATATGAAACGCTATCATGTGACATTTAGTATGTGCCACTGTGAATCTGTTACTCAAAAAAAGATGCTTCGACCTAGAGTACATGAATGACATTATTTCAACACGACTACTAGCATTTTACTTAATCAAGTGAAAATTGATGTGCATAGGTACAGCAGATCTATGAAGGCTAAAATCTGTCTCAGGACCAATTATGGTAATAGGACTATTAAAATGGTATGAACGTTCACACTAACTACACATCAGAAGCACTAATTTCAAAACATAATAAAACATTGATTTTGCATCATTTAAAAATCTGTTACACATTACATTCAAAGAACGACTAGCATGCTCGCTTACAACCTCTAAAATTTATTCGATAGCTTAATAACACTATCAAGTTATAACAACATAATTTCGGCTCCACTTGAGTTTTTACATTTATTAATCCAGTCTTGACAGTGCGTCATTTAATAAGGACAGTGGTATTTTTCTTCGCTGAGTTAATTTTATTATTGTGAACGTAATTTACGCATGAAAACTGCTCTTATGACTTTAATTGAAATTATGTCAGCTAACGTATTCGCCAAGAGTACCGTCTTTTGTAAAGTAATTCATCATCGGTTCTTTTGAGTACATTGGTTCTTCTGTATTTGTTTGCACATTTGGTTCTAACAATTAAGTTTTCAACCTTTTCTGGTCATCACTTTTTCTTGTCTCTGGGTATTGTTTGTGTCTATTTTTTACTGAAAATCTCTGATTGATGACTGGACAGTGCAAAACAAGTAATTTCCAACGCCCAGGTGGTCGATACTCTGTGGAAAATGACATGCAATGTGATGAGTGCAAAGGATGGTACCACGAAGTTTGTACGAATCTAACACCTGCAGTTTTTAAACGATTTAGCAAAAATAGTTGCGTGTGGTTGTGTTGGCATTGCTGCTTGGACACAAACAGATTGCTATCTGAAGCCACTGCAATAGTGATTGCTGCTAAAAGTATTATCAGGCGTATTCGAGACACATTAGACAGCACTTACTCGGTCAACACAAGTTCATGTGAAGTCACCTCAAATAAGCCCTAAGTCGATTGACTTATATGGGTCAAAGAAGGGAAAACAGACTTCAAAATGTCTGCCAGAAATAAAGTTCCTTCTGTCCCCCGTCCTCCAAATAGCAACCAGCAGGAAACGTCTAGAAAACTTGGTCGTAAGACTAGGTTTGTTTCTAACAGAAAAAACAAAAACCTGACCACCCAAGTCATCGACAAGCATACAGGACCTTACAATATGTGACGTGACCGTGCTACTCTAACGAAAGTTGATGGATAGGTACATGTCGAGAATAAGAAACGACATAATGTTATTAAAGAAAAGCCAACACCCCAAAAGATAGTTGAGAAATTAAGGACTGATCATAGTAACGGCTATCTTTCATAGTCAAGGAAAGTGAAAGCTAAGAACCCAAAACTCGTTTTGAGAATGACATTGAGTTGATAGAACAGCTACTGAGCCAGTTAATGTCACAGAATATCTCCGGGGTTACCTTACTAAAGATTTATAGACTAGGTAGCCAAGTGAATTTGAAACAGAATCAAACCAGGCTGCTTAAAGTTGTATTTAAATTTCCCAATGAACGGGACTTAATACTACAGAATGGACATGAACTGAAGGGGTCATAAGTTTTTGTCTGTAAAGACTTGCCGCTCCCGGACCGCATAAAAAGACGAGAAGCCGAAAATTAACTAAATCTTAGGTTAGATGCTTGCAAAAAGGACCTAAAAATTGTAAATTTTCAGGTGGTGAGGCTTTGACAGAAAATGATGCTGAAGCCACTCTGGGTGCAACACGAAGCCGTCTAAATTAGCTTCCAATCTGTTACACAAATATCCGAAGCTTGCACAATAAACGATCGGAGTTAGGTGTACACACTGACTCTACCAAGCCGGATCTAAATCGCAGTCACAACAACTTGATGGACGCAGTCTATAGACATTATGCAACCTGATATTGAAGGTTTTAGGTTAGAAAAAGCCGACAGAATCCACAAGTGTAAAACAGGAGTAGCTCTATTCATTAGGAATACTATCACATTTACCATTATTGACAATGTATCCCATGAGTGGGACGTGTGAATTAGTTAGTTGCCGCTTGATTTGGTCTACCTCAGTCCAAACTACGAGGTGAATGAAGTATTGCTAGACAGTCTCAATACTTGGTCACAACGTGGTTGATATCTAATCCTAGAAGACTTTGATACACTTACGATAGACTGGAAGAATCTAAGGACTGAGTTATCAAAGAATTCCTTCGAACAGGAACTAGCTGAGGCGGTTATCACATGTGCCCCAGTACAACATGTGAAAGAAGTTAACAGGTACGACCCGAACTCCGAAACATCCTGACTAGATCTCATATTGACCCATAATGGAGATGACGTCACAAACCTAGATTATATGCTACCCTTAGGTAAAAGTGATCATGCAGTCCTAATTTTTGACTTCCATATAGGTGTTATAAACCAGCACGTGTCAGCCCAACCCAGATCTAACGTCTGGAAAGCAAATATACAAGATATGAATCACTCAGCAGACGAAGTAGATTGGTCAATAGAGCAAGAGTCCCCAATTGGAACGGCTTGGGATGGATTTACAAATTTGTACTTAAAAGTCACTGCGCAGCACACTTCTTGGACTACACTAAGGGATCCGAGAAATTCTCCGCCATGATTCGGTAAAGAAGTTGTCACCCTTCTCTGTAAGAGAAGAATATGGGAAGGATTTAGGGCACTGGGTACCGATGAGACAAAATGTCAATATCGAGATGATCGAAATAATTGTGCCTCGACCCTCCTCAAGTCTAGAAGGTTATGCGAAGAAAAATTTTCAAGGAATCCATAGAATACCCTAAACACTTGTATTTGTATATAAACTAAAGGACTAAGAGAAAAGGAAATATTCTAGCACTATAGGAAGACAGTAATACTTTACCATTACTGAAGGACGACTATGGTAAAGCCCAAGTATTCTTAAACTACTTTAGCAATGTATATACCGTAGATACACTCTTCCCGTCAGTTTATACAAATATCCCCACACATACTGGACAACGTGACCACTAAAGAACTCGATGTGCCTTGATCTGCTAAACTAACTTGATACAGACGAATCCATGGGAACCGATAAAACGCATCCGAGGTTACTAAAGGAGCTAGCAAATTTTGTTGCGAATCACTTAACCATATGTTTTAATCTATCCGTAACCCAAGGTAGATAACCAAAAGACTGGGAGAACGCCATAGTAAGTCCTGTCTTCAAAACAGGTATGGAACATAAACCCGAGAACTACCGACCCGTAAGCCTAGCTAGCGTGACTTAGAATTCTAGAAAATATTATTCGTAAGTAGTGGTCTAAGTATCTAGAAGAAAACCGGGTTCTTTCTGAAAAGCAGCATGGCTTCGGAACAGGTTATTCCTATCTCATTAACTATTAGTAGCCTGTAAAAGTTGGTGAGCTCTTAAATACCAAGTTACCAATAGACGTAGACTACATTGACTTCAGAAATTCATTTGACAAAGTTCCTCACAACCAGCTGTTAACACATCGAAGTTGGAGGCAATTTATTAGTGTGGATAAAAGAATTCCTAGTTGGGCGCCAACAAAGAGTACAGGTGGACTCGAAAATGTTTAGCTGGGAAACTGTGCTTAACAGAGCCCCTCAGAGCGCAGTTATAGTGTCAGCGTTATTCCTCTTATATGTAAATGACCTTCCTAGTCTCTTATCATTATCGGTTTCGTTATATGCTGAGGATGTCAAGATATAGAGAGCGCTAAAATGTAAAAGTGAAAATTTAGAGCTTAAAAATGACATGGAGAAATTGTCTTAATGGTCGCAAACTTGGTAGTTGCCGAAAAATACTTCCAGATGCACTGTGATGCATACTGGTCACCAAGATGTGGATACGTACATAGTGAGCTACCTGTTCTCCGGACACACATTGTTAGTCAAGTCTTAGGAGTTATTGCATATTGCCGTGTAGTAACCGCCGAAGGTTTTAGAACCCTATGGTCTATACATAGGGCCTTTAGTCATGTAGACGCTAAAACGTCCCCGACTTCATGCATAATATTCGTGCGTCCAAAACTAGAGTACTACATGCAAGAAGCTAACCCGTCCAAACAGACAGTAAGCTGTTGGGAAGGGTTTAGAGAACCGAAACTAAACTAATTACCGGAATTGCCCCCCGAATGCCCTGGTACGGCCGAGAGTGGGGTGAGTCCGCTCTCCCTCTCGAAATACTCTCAAACGGCCGCGCGTATACAACCTCTGCCAGGGAAGTCCTACTCACTGCCTTCTCGTGGCGGGGGTGTTGTTTACGAAAATGAGAGGACGAAAAGCGAATGTCCGGCGCTTTAACCGGATCACAAACCAATGGTGCACATGGGCTCCAGTATCCTGCGGGAACAAATGGCGTATGAACCAATCTTTGGTCACCGGCTACCATGGGATTGCATCTCCTTACGATGCTCCACTGCCTTGTGGGTTAGACCTTTAGGTCAAAGGCTCGGGGAGTGGCCCCCTAAGAAAATCACCTGCTTCGGTTTGGGCACCCGGGCAGTATCACAGCCCACACACAAACGATGAACTCTATGTCTTTGCCAACTACTTTTATCGCTCCGAAAAACAATCAGTCGATTCAAGGCTTCCGTATGATGCTAGATTGGCTAAACTAGGCCTGTTTTCATTGTTGTATCAATGAACCAGAGGCTACTTGAACAGTTTCAAATCACTTAGTCAAAAACTTTCATGTGATATGCCCTCATTTTCCTCGTATTCCAAAACAGAAAATTTACGAGGAAACTTCAAATAGTTCCATAACTTCAGAATAAATTACTTGTCAGATGATTATCGACTATTCGATCGTACCAATGAATGGAGCTCATTAACTCAACACGTAATTGAAGCTCTGTCGGCGCTTTTAAAAGAGGAATGAATCAACTGATCGACCACTACTTCCAGGACAAACACAATTCACCGAGCCTCCTGTCATTTTCAAACTGAAACTGACCCAGTGAACGTCAGTGCAATATCAGGTAAAGTGTAAATGAATGGAGCCTATTCATCGTGGACTCTGAAGACTTATCAGAAGTCACATATTTGTACGTAAATTTTTAAGACATTTCACTAACCACTATCAAAATAAAGTCCTAAGAAATCCTGTATCAGGATTGTTTTGACTAATATATCTAAGCTAATATTGGTTTAGGACCGCAAAAAAATACTCACTGTACATCAGCAGTGTGATCTAAATCTGAAACGCAAATCAATTAAAGTAAAAATGCATAATTACATTCATATTTTACTTCTGGAATATCAGGAACCTCAAGAGTGTCCAACCCAGGCATGTTGAAAGTGAACTTAGCGGTAATTTGAAGGTCACCTGAGGGTAGAACTAGCTAATCACAAGAACAACTTCTGACACAAACCTTGACTTCTAAAATGAAAAGAATTGTTAAACAGGAAATTGATCCCCATTTGGCATATATATATTATACAATCAGGTATTAGTAAAGTTAAAAAAGTCCACCTGGTCAGTTTGGAAATGACAGGAGGCTCGGTGGCTTGTGCTTGTCCTGAAAGCGGTGGTCTATCAGTTGATCCAATCCTCTTTTAAAAGCACCGATAGATAGAGCTTCAATTACGTATTGAGCTTGTAGTGGCCTACTTTTATCGAGAGAACGCGAATGATTTAATTGAAACAATTATAATTATAACTAATTGTAACAGGGATTGTTTTGCCGTACATGTTTGTTTGTATCCCTGACGCGCTGTCTAAAAAGGACAGTGGTATTGTTTCTCGTTGAGTAAATTAACTGTTTTGATCGTATTAGAAGTGATGGAGTTTTAAGTCGCAAGGGGGAGGCATAATATTATACGTTAGGGATTACTTTCGTATACAATCAATCATATTGGAGGCTCATGTTAGTGGTACATATGAGGTAGCACGTTGTTAGATTAGATCTAGAAATGGGTCAGTGACTATAGGGGGAACATACCGTATTCCGTTTTGTCTTGCCGACGACTTTATCCTGAGACACATCTGTTCTTGGAGTATGGTAGAATGTTATCTCATCATTGGGGACTTCGACATACCGCATATCAACTGGATAGAGCTTACAGCTCCAGGTAGTGGTTTCGATAGTGACCTTTTATCTACCGTTATTCAGTGTGCACTTGTGCAATGCATTAAAAAACCGACACATATTGATTTACATCGTGTTCCATCACTGCTGGACCTCGCCCTCACCCACCACTGTGAGGATGTCTTTGATATTCAGCACCTTCCCTCACTAGTGAACAGTGATCACGTTGTAATTCGCTTCAAGTTTAGGACACATGGTATACAGTTAGTATCTGATCCACCCCGTCCCAATATCTGGCGAGCTAATATTCCGACGATCAGAAACTGTGCTATCTCGACTGATTGGTCGGTCGACGCGGATGGATTGATCGAAGACGAATGGAATAGGTTTAAGGCTACATTCGAGTCCGTAACGTCGCCGTTTATCCTATGGTCAGCACGTAAGCTATCACACTGCCCTCCATGGATTAATAAGGAAACCCGGAAGCTGTTAAAGCGTAGGAAACATTTCTGGGACTTATTCTTCTTGAAAGGTCATGAACCATTTAAGCGTGAGTACCGAAAATTCCGTAATATCTGTAAGAAAACCATAGCCAAATCCCGTACCACTTACGAACGATAGTTGGTATACGATAGCCGTACTTGTCTGAAACGATTGTTTTCGTATGTTAAACGGCGAATGAAACGTAGTGATGGTATTCCTCCGTTACTGTTACACAAAAATCCAGATTTACTAGCTGAATCAGATCGAGCAAAAGCTGAGACGTTTTCAGACTATTTTAGCGAAGTCTACTCTACGATTATTGTAACAAATACTTGTCCCACTCACACCGAGATACCAGCCATTGCATCTGTAAAGGTGATTGGGGAAACTGTCCTTCCGTTGATAACAGACCTCAAACCCTATAAGATACTGGGCCCTGACGGGTTACATCCACGGTTGCTGTAATCTCTTGCGGACATTATTTCAAAACCGCTTGCCACACTCTTCAACATGTCCCTTTCACTCGCTCAACTCCCTAGAGATTGGAAGGACACTATAGTCAGTCCTGTATTTAAGGACGGTCAGAGACATATAGTATCTAACTACCGGCCTGTCAGTTCAACTAGAATAGTCGTTAAGTTACTTGAAAAGTTAATTCGGGTTAGGTTGCTGAGCCACATAGATTTATACAATCTGTTAGCTCCTGAGCAACACGGATTTCGTAACAAGCGTTCATGCTTGACTAACTTGCTTATTGCGAGGGAGGATTGGACAACAGACCTAGATAACGGTCTGTCTGTCAACGTGATATTCATAGATTTTAGCAAAGCATTTGATAAGGTTTCACACTTAGGTCTTATGCAGAAGCTCACGAGCTTCGGAATAATAGGTGCTGTACATAAGTGGATAAGAAACCTCTTATGTGACCGCAGACAGAGTGTAAGGGTCAATGGGACGCTATCCGGTTGGAAGCCGGTCAAAAGTGGTGTACCCCAAGGCACCATCTTAGGCCCCCTTCTCTTTCTATACGTTAACGAGTTATTGCGGTTGCTTAGGTCATCGAAATTATTGTTTGCGGATAACGTAAAAATCTGGAGAACAAATAAAAAGTGAGGCTGATCATCCGGATCTTCAAGCTGACTTGGACGATTTAGTTAGATGGGTTCAAGGTTTGGGCTTAGAAATCAATTCTAGGAAGAGTGTGCTAATGCACATCGGTCACGATAATAGTTACCACTACAATATTGATGGTATACCTACTCCATGCGTTCAAGAGTATAAAGACTTAGGAGTAATAATAAGTCATGACTTAAAAACAACTACGTATTGCAACGCAGCCGCCGTCGAACGTTTTCGTGCGTTATAGTCACTTCGCCGTGCATTCAAATCTTTTGACGAGGAAATGTTTCGAATTTTGTATCCCACCTACGTAAGACCACATTTAGAATACTGTACTCAAGCAGCTACCCCGTGTCTGGTAAAAGATACTAACTCACTTGGGCGTGTGGAAACGAAATTAGTGAAGGGTCTTTCTAAACTCCCTTACGATGAGCGTTTAAAACGCCTAAACCTTTTCCCCTTGTCGTATCGTAGGACACGAGGTGACCTTATACTGGGATTTCGTAGCTTTAATTATGATTTGGGTGTTAATATGTCTTATCTTTTTGCTCCCTCCAGCACTAATAATCTCCTAGGTCATAGCAAGAAGGTTGATAAACCGAGATCTAATAAACTTAAAGTGGGGTCCCGTTTTTCTCATCGAGTAGTCAATGATTGGAACGCCTTACCCAAACAAGTGGTATCAGCCCCATCAGTGAATATTTTCAAGGAGAAACTGGACCTTCACTGGAAGGCAATCTGTCAGGATTAACATAGGTTCACCAACCTACTACCCTTATTACTGAAGACTGAAAACTTAACTGTACCAAAACACATACATTCTTCCGTTGATTGTGACCTTGCACGAATTCGGTTACTCTCAGTAACCACACTTGTAACCTGGCACGATCTCGGTATTCTTTCGATACCACGAGATCGCCAACAAATACGTCTCGACTACAGTCATCAACTGTCTTCTGATATTTGGCCTACGTGGGATCTTATCGGTTAACTGGCACGTAGTCTTCCTGTAGTGGTGATAATATTCAACCGCGACTCGACGCCACACTACAAGTTAATGAGCTCCATTCACTGGTTCGATCGAATAGTCGATAATCAGCTGACAAGTAATTTATTTTGCAGTTATGAAAGCATCTGAAGTTTCCTCGTATATTTTCCGCTTTGAAAGACAAGAAAATCAGGCTATGGCAGATCTTTAACATATTCCGACAAAGATTGACATGATTTCTACAGGAAGCGTTAACCACTCTCTGTAGATTTAGTTTCCTCACTAGTCAGCCTCAAGTTGTTTGAGAACGTATGTTGTCACAATAATATGAACAGGCGGGACTGGACTAATGAATGTAAAAACTCAAGTGGAGCCGAAATTATGTTTTTGTGACTTCATAGTGTTATTAAGATATCAAATAAATTTTAGAGGTTGTAAGCGAGCATGCTAGTCGTTCTTTGAATGTAATGTGTAACAGATTTTTAAATGATGCAAAATCAATGTTTTATTATGTTTTGAAATTAATGCTTCTGATATGTAGTTACTGTGAACGTCCATACAATGCTAATAGTTTTAGATCTAGATCACACTGCTAATTTATGGTAAGTAAATTTTGCGGTCATAAACTAAACATCATGATTCGCATCATGGTAAATTTGATACTTGATAACTGCCAAGTACAAATGGATCTTTTGTTATTATGTTATGAGATGATAAGTTTATATTTGAAAAAACTGACAGGGCTTAAATGGAAACTAGTGACACATGTTGGTAGGACTGTTTTACAGGGTAGGTCTGCGACTGAATGAAGGGTAAGCTGGAGATGATGACTAGATAATTCTGAATGAGTGACATGATTATCTCGACCCACTTCTGTTCACGATGATCTGATGTTATAGCTATGCTGTCGCTTGGGAATTCCGTTTGATGAGTCACTCATCAATTGAAGATTAAACTTGTAAAAATTGGATTGGTAGTATATTGCGGAAGTTTAAGAGGGCATGGAAGCATATCTGGGATGGAAATCAAATGAGTAACAAAAGCCTGTAGGGATGGCCACTCCTTGTTCAAACCCTTAAACCGAACATCTCGACTTAATTTTTGTATCGAGTAATGAGTTATCTCTAGCGGATTGTCATTATTTGGCACTCGAACAGATAAAGCACAACAAACAGGTTGTGTAACACTGTTGCGAAATACAGAGCTGCCGACCTCTTCTCTAGCAGGCAATTTAAATGTTATTTCTCTGGGTAGCATGTCTTGAAACCAAGGTGGTTGGTTCAAAGAATTATCACGATTTCTAGCACTTTTATTGCACCCTTGAAGCTGGGAAGTCTAGCTTTGGAATCTCTGTTGAAAGTGACGACGTTGACATTATTGATCCTGGTATAGACATAGCACGAACATTGTTAGATACGGTGGAAAGAAACATTTGGTTTTTATGTATATCTTGAAATGTTTTAACGGTCAAAATATGGAGTGGATTACGTAAAGAGGTACTAATAAAATTCGTATCGGGTGTATATGAATGAGGCTTTTCCTGTTGGGCATCATTTCCATTGAGTTCAATAAGCTGTTAGAAAGGATACTGTAGTTAAGACCAAGAGACCATATTACCAAGAAGATAAGAGTTTTCAGAATAGCAGTGTATATTCCCCTAAATTCTGATGATCTGGAACTATTTTGAGTTTGCTTATAAACACTAGGTTGGGAAGTCCTTGGACTTTCTATA